GTGACGCGTGGCGGCGCGTGGCAGCGGGGCCCAGGAGGAGCGCGTGTGCATCGGGTTGGAAGAGATTCGCTGGAAAGCCCCGCAGTGCACGTGCTGTTTTAATAGACGACGCAGCGGCGACACCAGGAGACACATGCGAGGGACAGCGGAGGGGCTGGGACCGGGCCCTGGACAGATGGGCCGCCGGCTCCACGCAGGAGAGGGCGCGGGAGGGGAGGCCGAGCCGCCGGGGACACAGGCCAGGAGGGGGTGCGGCTGCAGAGCCCGCGGGAGCTTTCGGGGGAGGAAGCCTGCGGACTACAGGTCCCAGGGCCGCTTCCGGCGGGTTCAGGATCTGCAGCCTGTTCTGCTTGGAGGGGAGAATGAGAGGCCAGGCTGCCTTCACCACCTCCGCGGGACAGACACCCGCGGTGAGTTCCCCGGACTCTGCCGGGCAAGCGAGCTAGCAAGTCCCGGCGGGCGTGCAGAAGAGGGGACACGTGGCTGTGTCCTCCGCACCTGCTGAGCTGGAACGCCGACCTCCAGCGCGCCCTTGTGGGCCCTGCCCCAGCACCAGCTCCAGCCGCCTCCCCAACCCACCCCAGGCAGGCAGGCGTGGCTCTGGGTCCTGAAGGGCAGAATCAGGATTTCTATCACTTACGGCTGTAAAGACAGGCTGACAACCTTACACAGCAAAATATGGTTCTGCCAGAGGACAGGATCCCGCCATCCTGGGCGATGGCCAGTGGGGAGTGAAGTGGGTGTGTGCGCGTGAGTCATAACCTGCTCCCAGGTGCCCTGAATCACCAGCTGCCATCAGGACCTCACAGGGGAGCGAAGACGGCCTGGGGCGGGTGGTGAAGGACGTGGCTTTCCGACACGGCACAGGCATGCCAGGCTGCGCTTCTGAGCAAGACTCGAGGGCCTCCGAGTACAACATGAAATGTCAAACGTGATGTTGGCTTTCTCCGGCGGTGGCCCAGTTTAGGCGTCGGAGGGAAAGACGCCTGTGTCTGCATCCGTCTGCATGGAGGACGGTGTCTGCCATCTCATTTGGCAAAGTCTTATCGTGCCCTTACTGGAGAATGAAGACACCCAAAGGCAACGGCGATTCAGTATCACGGCAGCGCGGAAAGTTCCATCCACATAAACGCCAGGTGGGGTCGCCTCCTGCCCACACCCAGAACACGAGGTGGGAGCCCACTGCCTACCTGCACGCGCCATCACTGTCTTGTGTTTTTAGAGGAGCATTTTAAAAATCTTTTAAAAATCACTTGCAATGTGGAAATCACAGTACCATAAAATTAAACAGATACAGCAGAAAATATATGTACAGTAAACTCTCAACAGCTCACATTTTTTTTAAATGTTTTGGAAAGAATTATTCTGGACGTGCCTCGGATGGCCATGGAGAGAAGCCAGACTTCTCTCAGTGTTCGGCATCTTAGGGTTTGTGGCCTGAGATGCATCTAATATGACCTCATCAAGAAATAAAATGTCAGAAAAACATTCTACAGGATTCTGGACTAGAAATCCTTTTCAAAGAGTTGCTTATCCTCGTTCAGCATAGAACAAAGTCAGGTCACAGGTGGCCAAGTTTAAAAACAGGATGTTTGCAAAGCAATAAACTAGGCACACATGGTAAAATAGCTTGACTGGCAGGTCTTTTCGATGAAAAAGATCTTATTCTAAGGGGAGAGTGGGAGCCTTCTTTCTGAGGCTTTTATAGAAAGACTAAAATTCACTGGGTAATTCTCACACTTTGATGTGCATCAGGACCTCCCGGAGACCCCACTTTTAAAAAGAGCGTGTGTTGGCTCCATCCCACCCACCTTGATCCCGGGACTCAGAGTAGAGGGAAATCTGCATTTTTATCCGCTTGGTGGATGGTTCTGATGGATGTTAGCCTGACTCCCACGATGAGAATCTCTGCCCTAAATCACACACGCGGTCCCTTAGAAAACCAATTTTGAGAAAATGAACATATTTAAAATTACGTATGTATTTTCTATGAGCCGATCGAGCTTAGAGAAAATTATTGTTTCTAATTTAGTCCTCCAGCCCAGAGACAAGGAAGAAAACACATGCATGATTTCATCGGATAAACTGGAACTTTCCACTCGATTTTCTTGAAGAGACGCGAAAGCGTTTCTAATGAGACCGCAAGGAGAGGGCAGTGGCCACGGCCGTCACGTGGGGACCACGCTCCGTCTTCGTAAGTGTCGTCCGCACCGACCAGCATGGTTGGCTGGGAACCAAACGCTCCTCCT